AAGCACAAACAAATTTCTTTTGGGATCAGGGTGGCACTCCCAATGTGAGGAAAGAACACAAGACCATAGAGATGGCATCGCGCAAATCCCGTTGTGGACTGGGCACCACATCTTTATAAGTTTTTTACCGCCTTTCTAGCGACCTGCGGCCTCAACGCTCCGCGCCTTGTTTCTTTTCTTATTTTTATAGTACTAAATTGCTTTGTCCCGGGTCTTCAACTCAATTCTCTCCGGCCCAACCAGCTTTGGAGATCCCTACTAAACCAATAAGGCAATGTGTGATAAGTAAGCAACCATGGAGAGTTCCTCGAGTCACTCTCCTCGTTCCTGATACCCATTGCCGGCTTGACTTTAGCCTGTGGAGTAGCTTAGGATCTTAAAGGTATGCAGCGGGGTTGATTGAACCCTATCGATGGAATGGGGCTTTTCAACTTATGAATAGCATGGATCACCTTCTACTATACCTGGCTAAGGTGCCACAATGGAAGCATACCAAGGATAATCCAGAGATACATCCTACCTATGCCGAGAGCACAAAGATCATGCTATGAAAACAGGTCTAGTTAATGCCCACAGGAGTAAGGAAAATACAATTGGATGCTTTATCCCTCCATACCGGGTAATGATTGGTATGGCTTGGGTATCCCTTGATCTGTTATCCAAAACTAACCAGTTGTCCCAACCGAATCAACCCCTAGGGGCTTTCCTATATGGATTCGTTCCCCGGAGCCAGAGCTGATTCCATGAATTGACGTATATGAGCGTAGTTATCAGGTACGCCGGGGGCTGGATTCAATCCCTGAGGATAGTGATTGATGGTATAGAGTTTTGATAGAAACTCGTATAAAAAATCATATAAAAAGAAAGAAGAGAAAAATGAGCCTTGTTTCCCGAGAGAGACCCCCTTCTCTCAGGACTGCAGTCTTATAGTCGACAGCTCTTTTTCCAAGCCACCACTCTTGTTCTGGACGGTGGTCTTAGCACTCACACCGAGAATCCCTGTCTTCCCCCCAGAAGACAGTCATCCTCTCCCTCGTTTTTATAGATTCCAAGGAGGTAATAGCACATAAACTAGCAATGTTGCGTCGAGAATTATGCTAGTGAAAGACTTAATAGTACTATATTACCACCATACTTACTACAGCTATCTTATACCTGGATATATAGTCATATATCAATAATCATTAAACCCAATCACCTCAACACACCCATCATCTTTGAGGGTAACTAACCTTTCTCGCGCAGTCCAAGTAATTACTCTTCCCCCTTTAAGATTGCATCCACTCTTCCTTCTAGTTGGTTTCTATGTAATATAGACTCCAAATCCATTATGATTTCTCCCATAATCTCTTCTATATCATCATCATCATCATGATCATGATCATTCATGTCGATGGCTATAAAGACTTCATTATACCAACGGCTATATCGTATTCCTGGAGAACTAGCCTCTAAGACAGTATCAAATACTTTACGATAGTAAAGATCCAGAATCACTCTTGTTAGTTCACCTACACGTGATACCCCTGACTGTTCTTTAATCTTACCCTTTTCCCCATTGATAGGAAGACTCACAACCTGTTTGATTAGGTCTTTTAAAAGAGGATATCCTCCCATCCCGAGGAGAGATTCCTTTATTTAGCATTGGTCCCTCTATAGCAGTCATATCCGTTTTATTAAGTTTTTTAGTTATCCCTTTGGGATATCGTTTTGTTTTAGCTGATCTTAGTATTGGTGTTTTTTTATGGATTGCGATTTCAAGTATTGCTCCTATTGGTCTTCTCATGGCAGGATATAGCTCAAATAATAAATATTCTTTTTCAGGCGGTCTACGAGCGGCTGCTCAATCTATTAGTTATGAAATACCATTAACTTTTTGTGTACTAGCAATATCTCTACGTGTGATTCGTTAAAATAGGATCTTTTTCCTCTAAAATACATTGAATGATTATCTTCCTTTGCTTATTCTGTATTCGCGTTGGTAAGTTAAACTCGATAGCTATATGAGTGAAACAAAACAGCTTATTAATTTGTAGTAAAAATAAAAAATCTCATTTCCTACGTACAAGAAAAAAGTTCAAGTAAACATAAGCAGTGTAAACTCTTTACCCCAAGGTTGAGATTGTTTAATTAGTCATCATATCTTGAAGCGGGCAAGAATAAAGGATTCGCGATATGGAATTCCATTACTAGAATATTTTGAGTTATTACTATAATTTAAACTTATAACCATAAGGCAATCCATCAAAAGTTAGTGAGGGATTAGGAACACTAAAGTACATACAGGATTAGTAATGAGAGAATCTAAATCATTAGACATTTTTCCTCATAAAAGATCGGCTATTCCCCTAAGAAAGCAAAGGGGTATTCTTCCTTCATAGATTCCCGATGCCGAGCTACTCTTGATAGGCTTTCCAAGACCAAGTTTATAGAATGATCCCTTGCACATTGAGCAAGACAGTGTATTCTTTAGGTTGGAGTAAGATCAATGGAGCCGAAA